AATTCTTTTTTAATCTCTCCTAATATTATGTTACTGCTGATACCGCAGAACGTCTCAGGTCCTACAAAGAGTGTTTGAGCCCCTTTTCTTGCAAGAATATCTGCAATCTCGCTACCCTGTACCCCGTTATGTCGATATATCGGTTCGAGGTTCAAGACGCTGGAAGCTGGAATCGCTGTTCGGCGATCGTGTCGATTTACTCGGGTGACGCAATAAACAATAATTATTGAATACACGTGAGTCGCAGTAGTTGATGTGTGGTTGCTGTATTCGGTGTTTTGTTTGTAAACGTTTCGGCGCGGCAAATTTTATTCTCTTTTTAAAAGTTATTTCCGTTTTAGTTAAAAGTGTTGTGTTACGTGTTATAATCTTTATTATTGACGTATGTTTTCTGAAGTATTAAATAACAAAATAACAAGTTGTTGATACGAAACACAGGCACAAAACAATGCTAGAGTATGTCTAGTATGAGGCTACTTGCTTTTATACAATGTTTTACTTGAGCTAATAAGTTTTAATTCACTTTTTCCGATAAATAAGAACGCCGGTCAGCTAACGTCCACAAAGTGCGGGAAAACTCACATATTGTGACGAGCACACCCTTTTCACCTTAAGTTAAGATTACTTCTGTTTTAACGATGCCCGAGATTGCACCGTTTATTAGAGGAGATATAAAATGAGCGCGAATTGCCAGGTTTGGTTGGAATTACGTCATGAACTACCAATAGTATCAATCAGACGCAAATGTGATGTTGGTTGCATGATGTTAGAGGCGGTTTAGCATTTAATTATGTAATAAGGGGCGAGAGAAACAAATATATTTAAATTCGCTGACTAGCGGCGTAGGGGAAAGAGAAGTAAAACAATTGATATATTATGGCGGAGAATAATGTTAGTTATTTTCCAACAGTGGGTTTAAGATATTTAATAGCATAAATATTTTTTATTTTGTACTAGGTAAATCGGGCACATTTTTTTTTTCCAACAATATTTTACCAATGTGATGCGCGAGCGTAAAAAATATAAATAAATCCATATTATAAAAACAAATTAATCGCAGAAAACAATAACGCTTGAATATAATTCATCTTTGGGAAATGGAAAAATGAAAATATTTGCTCAAATTTAAATTTTTGCACGTATTTTCCTTTTTTTAACTTCCAAAGATAAAGTAATCACTTCATCTACTTATTTAAGAAAGCAAGAACTTAAAATGAAACCATCAGTAGTATGGAACCTTTTTATCAAAAATAGTAAAGACGAGGCACAGTGCTCTATTTGTAAAAAAATATTTAAGTATTATGGAAGTACGACCAATTTAAAAAAACATTTATCAAAAATTCATCCAATTCAATACAGGCAAGAAGTGGAAAACGAGCTGGAAACTGAACCTGTTGCCGGACCTTCTAGTGAACCATCGATTAAACCCTGTAATTCGGAAAATTATTCTTTGGAAAGCAAGGCAGTAACTTTCGATAAATGTGTTTCTGATCGCTCTACGACATTACCCCCATTAAAAAGAAAAATACAACTCAAGTTATTTGGTGGACCAAGCACGACAGAAATTAGTGATTCTAAAAAAAAGGATTTAGACGAAAGTTTATTAAAAATGGTGGTTTTGGACTATCAACCATTTTCCTTGGTCGAAAACGCTAGTTTTAGAGATTTTGTAAGTAGGCTAAATTATCTTTATAAAATACCGGATAGAAAGCATTTAGCCAATACACTGTTAGCTAATAAATATGCCGAAGAAGTATCTATCGTGAAGAATATCATAAATGAAGTAAAAAACCTTTCTGTTACTACAGACATATGGGGACGTCTGACAGCAATAAGGCATACTTGAGTCTCACATGCCATTTTGTACATAATAACAAATTAAGATCTCAAGTTTTATCCACCAACGAAATTTTAGGGGCACACACAGGTGAAAATATTGGCAAAGCAATGAATGTCATTTTAAATCATTGGAAAATTACAGAAAAGGTTGTTACCATTGTTTCCGATATGGAAGTAACATTAAATGTGTAATTAATCAATATATTCAGAAACATAATCATCCATGTGTCGCTCATACTCTAAATGTATGTGTTACATATAGTATTAAAGAAAATGAAACTTTTTCTTTAATTTAAAAAAAATGTAGAGCTCTTGTAACCCATTTTAAACACAGTGTTCAAGCAAGCGAAAAGTTAAAAAATACTCAAGAACAAATGGGGTTTTCTGTCCTTAAAGTAAAACAAGATGTGTCAACGAGATGGAACTCCAGTTTAATAATGCTGGAAAGACTTCTAGAAATTAAAGATGCCCTAAGTATTATATTATCGGATTTACCAAAAGCTCCCGCCAGTTTGGATGCGACGGAATGGGCCATTATTTGTGATTGTATTCCAGTGCTTAAACCAATTGAAGTTTTGACATCAATATTATCTGCAGAAAAGTATGCAACGATATCTTTAATTGTCCCATTAATTAGAGGTCTTCAACATAGTCTTAAGCACATAAACACAACAACGGAGGTGGGAATGCAGTTAAAGAACTCACTAGTTGATGTAGTAAGTCGCAGAATAGCGCCTCTAAAAAGAGATAAAATTATAGCCGAGGCTACATTGTTAGATCCTCGGTTTAAAACAATAGGTTTTGGACTCGAAGAAAACGCCAAAAATGCAGAACTGTGGCTAGTAGAGGAAGTCAAACAAATTATAAACCGAAATAATAATAATATTAATCAGGATTTTGTTAGAACTCAAGAAAGTGGCCCATCAAAAGAAAATTTGTTAGTACCAGCATCAGATCCCAGTAAAGATTTATGGTCTTTCTTTGACAACAAAATAGTGCAAAATAAGTCAGTTACCACTGCATCTACAACGGCTATGTTTAACGTAAAACAATATCTGCAAATGGAAAACTTAAATAGAAACAAATGTCCGTTTGAATTATGGGAACAACAGAAACATATATTTCCAGAACTTTATGAAGTAGCTCAGAAATATTTATGCGTTCCTGGAACATCTGTCCCATCAGGACGAGTATTTTCTAAAGCAGGACAGTTAACAAATATACGCCGAAATCGCTTATTGCCAAAAAACCTTAACCAAATAATTTTTTAAGTAGTTTTTATAGTTTATTTTAACAATTTGCTTAAAATATTTTAGTTCGTTTTTATTTTTCCAAAATATGTTAGTATTAATAGCAAAACGTTTAATTTATTATTTATTTTTGTTATTCATTTTAGAATGTTTTATTTTATTTTAACCCGAGGTTTTCCGTTTAAAAATTTTTAATAACAATATTTTTTTAAACATATAAAAAAAATTAAAAATAAACTTTTATCTTCGTTTATACTTATACTTAAAAATCCTTGTAAAAACTATAAACCTTTGTTGCTAAACCGTGAAAACAAATCGTTAAGTACTCAGTACTCGGTATTCAATAAAATATCCGATTCCGTAAAGTACTCGAACCCAAAGTACTCGATTCTTAAAAATATCCGATTCTTCCCATCACTACTATAGACCCCAAAACTTGAATACACTCAAACACTATGGAATGTATACTATATCAAAGACAAAGCAGACAGAAAGAGTGGCAAAGGCGAATAACTAGATTACCACAAGAACTAGGGTTGCCACCTTTTTGAATAAAGGACTACGATGCTGACAGGAACTCCGGTATACAAAAGTCCCTCATCCTTCTACTAAACTTCTAAAAAAAAGGTCTTTAACCTATATATTTTTGTACAAACCATGTCCCTTTCAACGATATGTGCTGTAAAAAATGACATTTGCCGTATAAAAGGACACTTTAATCTTTAAAAAGTCACAGGATCATTTTACTTCAAAAAAGGACTGTCCTATGAGGACAGGCTTGCAAGATTAGTACTCACAACTTTAAGAGACAGGAGAACCAGAGATGATCTCATTGAAACATTTAAAATACGCAACACTTACTATGCTTGTAATCTGAGGGGTCATGATCAAAATATTTACAAAGAAAAATGTAATAAATTTTCTTATAATAGAGTAGCCTATCATTGGAACCGTCTAAGTATTAATACCATTAATTCTACCTCCACAAATCAATTCAGGAATCGCCTTGATCAGAAAATAAGAAGTTGGACGATATCATCTTTTGTGCACGACTGTATATAGTCAAAAACAAAAAATACAAAAAATTATGTGATAAAACAAAAACTATTATGTGATATTGCTGCTAATCTGTGATAGCGGTTTATCCAAATAAGGATTAAGGATTAAAACCGACTACTGTCATTAATAATATTAATAGCCTCTTGAAGATTCGTTGATTTGACGAACAGGATATTTAAAAATTCGAAGGTGTTCTAAAGGAATTTCCACGAAAACTTTCACGTACTTCGACATGTACCTACTAATATTTTTTGTAAGCTAGGGACTTATTTTCAAACCGATTGAATTCACGATTAGCTGTTTGACGGATTCGTAAACACAATATGGCGGGAGTGAACCCGTCTTGGAGTACATGACCGCGTCTTCCTACCTTATACCTTCATGGAAATGAATTAATGTATAATTATGAAATAGGGTGATGAATGGGATTGTACTCTGCATTTTTTAGAGGACATGTCAAATTTATGTGACGTCAACGTTTAACATACTGTCGCCATCTTGATTTTTTAAATGACGTAGTTCGGGTGAAATATCTGAGAAAAGCTTATTTTTCCCCTTTTCAAGAATACTGAAAAAGTACCACGTAATTAATGTAATAAGTCTTATTCATCAACCTAAACTACCTTGTTGCCAGACTTTTTCGCTACCCTGTATGTATATGATCAGAAAACAAAAACAATAATAATGTAATACAGTCCCATTCATTGCCCTATAATTTCAAAATTACACAATTACTCGTTTCAAATAAAATACCTTCATCACAGGCGTATTGTAACTATGTCTATATTTCCGCACATATTTAAACAACTGCCAAATTCACTATTGGGTTGATAGTTAATAAAATTGTTTCAGGGTTCCGAAGAACTATTTTTGGTTGACCCTCTGGCGCCATCTTCAAATAACGGAGGTTCTAGGTCAGTAGGTAATTCCCAATCGTCAGATAATTTCCCTTATTTAGCTGAAGCTGTTCGAAGTGATTTATTGAATAGAGCTGCTAGCGGTGCGTTGTTGAACGATTTGAATGACGGAGATGGTAAGTTTTTAAAATATTTCAATTAATATTTTATAGCAGTTGCTTTGCGTTTTTTTTTTAATGTATAATCTTTTTAAAAAATAGGTATGGCAATTGACAATGATGATGATAATGCTTCTGAACATGAAGATGCTCCTGCAGACCGCGAACTGCCAATAACCGTGCGTCAAGCATCTTTAAATGACAGTGAACCACAAGAAGTGGCAGAAGGGCAACAAGAAAGTAGATTGCCAGGTGAAGATTCCGATCCTGAGCTAGATCTATTGGCAGAAACAGAATCTGACAGCGATGATAATCACAGTAATCAAGATGCCGCGTCTGCACAAAGATCTGTACAAACTGGAGCCACAGCAGGATCAGATACAGGTAAAAATAAATATTCAGTATGAGCACATAAATACATTCCACCTTATGTTTAGACGGATGTTGTTACTTGGTACAGTGAAGTTAAAATTCAGTGAGTAAATTTATTTTAGAATTTAGAAACAGCAATTAGTTAATGAATGTGACCTTTTTTTAAAAATGGTACGAACATTGAAGTATAAGGCAAGACTGGTTGCTAAAGACCATACACAAAAATATAGATAGGATGGTAATCTCATCTCATTCTCAAACAAGACCTTTGCTGGTGTTTAGCCTGTTGATTCATTGACAGCTATATAAGCCATTGCAAAGATCGAAAGATACTGATCCCAATCTCGCTGATGGATTGAAACCACTTTTGACAGATATTTTCCAATGGTCTTATTCATTCGCTCTACCATTCCATTGGATTGTGGGTGCAATGCTGTGGTTCTGGTTTTCTTCATGCCTAGTCTGTCACAGATTCCACGGAAAAGTTGACTTTCAAAATTTCTGCCTTGGTCACTGTGGATCTCCAAGGGCACTCCAAATCGACAGATAAACTCTTTTATCAATATCTGCAACAGTTGCGGCCTCTTTATTTGGAATGGCATAGACTTCCACCCACTTTGTAAAATAATCCATAACCACCAAAATGTATTTATTACCATCCTCGATCGCGGGGAATGGTCCAGCAATATCTAAGGCGATCCTCTCAAATGGGCTACCAACGTTATATTGCTTCATGGGAGCCTTCCTTTTTCGTTGAGGTCCATTACTCATAGCACAGGTGGTACATTTCTTACACCAGTCCTTTACATCATCGGAACTGTTCATCCAGTAAAACCTTTCCCGAACTCTCTGAAGGGTTTTCCTAACACCGAGATGTCCTCCTGATGGACTGTCGTGTAATTGACGGAGTACTTCAGCTACTCTACTTCTTGGAATGACCAACTGTCTTCTGTTCTCGGAACCATCATCATTTTCAAGTACTCTCTTTAATAAGCCATCTTCCAGGATAAAGGAGTTCCACTGAGCCAAATACGACTTAAGTACTGGAGAGAGATTAGATACTTCTTGCCAAGTAGGTCGACGATTTTCCTCTTTCCATTGTCGCATCTTCTTTAGAACGGTATCGTTTTCTTGTTCTTCCCTAATCTTAGCAGGTGCCACTCATTGTTGACTACAGTTGTTCTTAGTAGTCCATTTTCTTTGGATTCAGCTTTGTTGCAGTAGGAGCACTCTGCTGGGCATGGTCTTCTAGAGAGAGAATCAGCATTTCTGTGACTTATTCCGGCTCGATGTTCAATTTTGAAGTCGTACTCTTGAAGTCGTTCAATCCATCTGGCGATTTGACCCTCCGGGTTCTTAAATTGCATCAACCACTTAAGGGCTGCATGATCGGTACGGATTAAAAATTTCCTTCCGTACAGGTATTGGTAGAAATGTTCCACACACTTTACAACTGCCAGGAGTTCTCTTCTTGTGACGCAGTAATTTCGTTCAGGTTTCGAAAGCACTTTACTAAAATAACCTAGTACTCTTTCTTTCCCTTCCTGAATCTGTGAAAGCACTCCTCCAATTCCCACATTACTAGCATCAGTATCCAGGATAAATTCTCCCTCTGGTTGTGGGTAGCCTAGTATTGGTGCTGTTAAATGTTTCAAAGGCAGTTTGGCAGTCCTTGTCCCAGCAGAATTCCCTCGCTTCTTCTGTGAGTCGCGTTAGTGGTTTAGCAATATCTGCAAACTTCTTTATCAATCTTCGGTAGCCCAAGAAAACTTCTTATTTGGTGTTTGTCCTTTGGTTGTGGCCACTCTTTGATAGAAGCGACTTTTTCTTTATCTACAGCCACGCCATCCTTACTGACTACAATTGACTTTATTTTGTTTAGCATCAGTTGGGCAGCTTGAAGTCTTTCAAAAACATCTTCTAAGTTCTTTAGATGTTCATCAAATGTCTTCCCCAAGACTATTATGTCGTCTAAATAAACCAGGCATGTTTTCCAGGATAACCCTCTCAATACATTTTCCATGTCTTTCAACTGTCGCGGGGGCATTACATAGTTCAAATGGCATGACATTAAATTGCCACAGTCCAGATCCAGTGGTAAAGGCTGTCTTTTCTTTGTCTACTGGGTCGATTTCCACCTGCCAATATCCAGACTAGGTCTAAGATAGCAAATAGTTTAGTTCCGGCCAATGTGTCCTAGGTATCGTCGATCCGAGGAAGAGGATAACTGTTTTTCTTAGTTACATTGTTCAACTGATGGTAATCCACACATAACCTCGTAGTTCCATCCTTTTTCTGGACCAGGACTACCGGAGAGACCCATGGGCTGGTAGAAGGTTCTATTATCCTGTCTTCCTTCATTTCCTGAACAATTCTTTCAGCTTCCTCTCTCTTGGCCTTTGGTAATCTTCGAGCTGATTGACGAATCGGCCTGGCGTCACCAGTGTCAATTTTGTGTTTTACGACAGAAGTTCTTCCGGTTTTTCCTCCTTTTGGTACAAAAATGTCACGATATCGTCGAAGAAATTCCTTTATTTTCTTTTTCTCTAATTGATTCAGAGATTGACCAGCAACTGCAATCATTTGCTCAAATTTGTCGTTGGAATTATCAGAAGTTGTTGTCTGACGAATTATGGAAGTTACTGGTACACACGTTCTGATTCTGGTCTCTTTCTTGATGGTAATTGGGTGATTATTAACGTTTATAAGACGGACTGGAATCTCCTTAGCAGTCGTAACCATTTGGCGCCCGAACAGGACGCCCCACGTTGGGCGCCAATGTAGCAGTTTCATTGCTTTCTAAAAGGTGTTAAGGCCCATTGAAAGCCAATGCAAGCCTTTACCGGGAATTGTCTGATTTTGAAGACAGATTTATAGTGATTTAAGCTCAATTTAAGATTTTACAATTTTCCATACAGGAAAATGGTAAAATTTATTATACTCAGGGTTGTGAATTCTCAGTTGTTTATTTTGGAACTTTTATTATTATCTGAATTTGAACAAGGCGCCACCTGTTTTGACTATATTAAAAAAATATACTTTTTCAGAGAAAAACAAAATAGGAAACAAAACTATACTATGACAACTGTCAAGATAAGGTACGATAAGTTCAAATTCAAATGAATATCAGATAAATTAAAACAGATAAATTCAATTTAGATTTTATTATCCACAATAATGACAAATGCAGAACTGAGGGTTCTGGGAAAAAACAAAATATAGTTAGAGTTGAACTGAAGGTCCCAAATGTAGAAAAATATAAAATAATAATAAGTGACAAATGCAGAACTGAGGGTTCTGGAAAAAAACAAAATATAGTTAAAGTTGAACTGAAGGTTCCAAAAGACAATTAATGATGTAGAAAAATTATAAAACTTAGGTATTAAATAAATTGTTATAAAAAAATGAACAAAATGATATTCGCAATTTAAGTAACCTGTACACAATTAAATACAAGCTCGGCTTTGTTTCGGTTTAAGTTACCGGATGACTAAGCTGAGGGATGGTCCTGCTGGTTCTGGAGGTAATCGAACCTCTTCAGAAGTTCAAACGAGGTGGTGGTGCATTCAGTTCCTATTCAGGAAGGAGCCTTGTCCACTATAAGGTCTCTTGATTCTATGTGTTGCAGATTCACCGACGTTCTGATGCTGAGGAACTCAATTTCCACTTGGATCGACTAACTTTCAAAACTTTTCTGGTCTGTTGGCTTAACTTGTCATCGGTAATACTCCCAGTGCATGAAAATAAAACATATGTGTGTGTGAGCTACTTATATTGGCAATACAGAAAAATGGTGGTTAAAAGACGTCTTTTACTACCCCTGAGGTTACGTAAATCGCCCAAAAGACTGATAATAATGAAGGAATGCTATTATTCCCCAAAGATAAACCCTTAACGAGGTTCTAGACCATTTAGTCTGATAATTATATCCACCTGTGTGAAAAAAATAATATTAAAACTAGATAAGTTAACAGAAGGTTAACTTATTCAGAAAGTTAACTGAAACTTAAAATTATGTAGCACTGATGCCAAAGTTAAGCTTAGTTGGTAAACTAATAGTTACCCCCTTGATTACTTTAAAACCATGAAGTGGTATCCTAAATAAATCTGAAAAAGGAATCATTAAATATAATTGAATTGATTTAAATCCCCGAAAATATTAAAATTATCTACAGATAATTTAGACAATAGATTAACAATCTAAATCCCATATAACCCTATGGTTATATCAAACAAAAACCCCAAAAATAATAAAATAATGAAAAAACTTAAAAGGAAATAGGATAGTAGAGATAGAATTAGAGTAGGGTACCTTTTTTATTAATTAACTGGCATTTAGTAGCGTAGCTTCCTTTATCAGGAACTATGCCTAAGTTAATTAATAAAAAAGTACTAAGAAAGTGAAGAGAAAAGATGAGAGAAGAAAGAAATAAGCAACCTTTGTATATAAGCTGTCCGGAAGCCGCTTTATCTCCGTGTATTATTAGTGAATTAGGTTTAATATTTCGTGGCGATAAGTAAAGTAGCAAATTTTCAATATTTCTCCAAAAGACAAATTATTACCTAAACACCGCACCTAGAATAATTAGTTAACCAAAAAATTACAATAATCCAGTAATTAGCGCTTCATCGATTTGTTACACAATAGAAAAAAAAAACAATGAACAAATTTATCATAAAATTTAATTTTATTTTAACACTGCAAATTATCCATCGACAAATTGACACAAATCGATAAATCCCTGTTCACCGGAAAAACACTCTTAAATAGCGAAGCGATAAAGGTCAAAATTCGTTGCAGGTATGAAGTTTAAACTATGCCATGTGCATTTACAACGCGATAAAGGTCAAAATCCCTTGTTAAGACACAAAACGGCTTTTTCTCCAAGAAAAAATACCCTCAAATAGTTGAAAACTATATCAAATGATGCAAATACACCCTTAATTAACAAGGTAGACCCTAAATTAGTGGAAGATACATTCGTTAATCACTAATAAATTCCTGCAACAAA